CAGCAGACCTTCGGCAGGCTCTGCTTCCACCGCGTGAAGCAGGCAGCCTGTGCCCATCCTTTTACCTCTCGTTGTCATTTGCCCCCGGGCAGCTACTGAGTCTGCCTTAGTGCTCCAAAGCTGGTTTTAAGGCTGAAATTTGCCCGTGAAACTGCACTTTCCTTCAGTGGGGCGTGCAACTATTTCAATGGGTGCTTTCCCAGGTCCATGTCCACTGGCAGGAAAAAAGCTCAGAAAGTCTTTGGACAAGACCTCCCTGCTGGGAGTAATCTTCACTCTTGGCCACTGAGACTCTTTCTTAGGAAAGTGGGTGTCTCACACCAGTTAACTCAACCAGAGTTACCGGCCTGCCGTTTATACTTGGCAGATACTGCAGCATGAGTAGCCCTTATGAGCCCAAAGGGGTTTTCCCTTTCTCAGACACAATCCCTTCAGAAGTGCCTTTTAGCTGCAGCGAAGGCTGTAAGTACCAGCAGAGCTTAAAACAGCAACAGATAGAGATGAATAATTTCTGTTAAATCCTTTACTCTGCTGCTCTTTGATGCCTGTAGATAACTAACCAAGTAGTTACATCAGGTCATCAGGCTAGCCTAGGTATAGGGCATTTAGAAATGAGAGTTCAGATACCTTATATTCAAAACAACACATATTCTAGCCATATTTACATCTCGTGTGACACTTCTTACCATGCAGTATGGAGGATTTGTGTCATGGACCGTATCTTCAGTTACATTTGTAGACTGCTTTACAAATGAGGCCTGCATGTGGTCTTTGGATACTATTTCACCAGACATAGTGCTAGCAGACTATTTATTCCTTATCAATAGTGGCTCATTCAAAATCCCCGTACTAATCCATAAGATCTGTGACACAGTATAGGCTGTAAAGCTTGTCCCATCTTTCAAGTTAAGAATCTCTTTCTCTCATTATGTATGATAATAATTCACAATGGGGTATTCATACAGTGTTTTTATAAGCTTGCATAAAACATTTTATATTTGCAATAAAAAGAAGTCAACATTGGGTTGACAGTCTAAATACACTTGTTACAAATGTAGCCTTCCTTTTTTTCTTTCTTGAAGGCACACACATAGTCTCCATTTAGTACTACTGGAAATATCTTCAAGAAGAAGAGAGCAAACTTTTAAGTCCATTTAGTAAATTCTCTAAAGAAATGGTAAAATATACCAAATGAGTTTTTAAACTGTGCTGAAATGCACCACTTCCTTTGGTTTTAAATTATAATCAGGCATAAACTGAAAACATGCATACTTGCTGACTGCAACATTTTCTAAATTTCGAATGCAAAACTCAAATTCTATTTTTCATTAGTGCAACACTGTTAACTTTACAGATATTGCATGGGAGCAAATGAAGGCAGAATATGCCCTGCAGATCCTCTTTCCAATAATATGAAACTTCTTTAATCCCTTTGCTGAATATGAACTGTTCAGTAGAGATATATTATTATTGAATATGGTTTAAATAACTATCCAGCACTTTCTGTGTAATTAATATTGCATATATTATGCCTGAAAGTATGTAATCCATACTTTCAACTCAGTTTGCCAAGTATAAATTCAGAGCTGGATACAACACAACAGGCTGTAAAGTCCATCCAGTACCTTAACACAATAATATATTCACAAGTATTGCTCTTCAATTTATCAAGCAGGCAGAAAAGGTGCTTTGCCAACACTGGTGACTACAGCATGCCAAGCTATCAGAAGCAATACGTTGTATAATCACCAATAACATGTGCCTAGTTTCAATCTAACAATTTTCCATTTTTGTGATCTACCATATATTCATCATCCAGATGTTTCCTCATTGCCTGTCATTGATATGACGCAAAGCAACATTTGCACTCATGTTTATATAATGGTGGAAGTAAATCAGGTTCAGGAGTTCTTCAAAGTTGAAGCTTTCCGTCCCACTAAATTCCTTATAACTGGCTTCCTGTGGGGCAACAGATATTAATCAGATCGAGAGTAATAGAAAATTAATTAAATATAAATTCTCTGAAGCAATAAACGTACAAAAAGGAATCTGTACTACCTTTCCTAATGCATCTTAATATCTATCACACATTTCTGGATATGTAATTTATTCATGTGTGTTTTAATTACATGAGACAAAAATATGTTATGTTACCCTCAGATATTAAAAGCAATTAAAAATAAATCAGGAGCCTTATTTTAGCTGACAACTTTTAAAGTGATCTTGAATATGTGCTACTTGAATATGTGCTGCAGAAATTATATGACTTACACATTATATTGAATGAGACAAAAGGAGCTACCTGACACAAGAAGTCTTATGATGGTTAATAAACAAAAAATACCAAAAGTTTGGACATGCCTGAAGGAGACAAACTGAATGTCAAATATGCAGTTTCAATGTAGTGAATACCACAAGCTAATCTAATAAATTGTTATTAAAGAAGTTTACATATTGGCAGACATCTCCAACAAAATTGTTAATGCACTAGTTCAAAAATTGAATTATTCAATAAAGCCAAATAACTGGAAAGGTTTAACCAATGAAGTGCACAGATATAAGGTTTATGTAAGAAAGCTCATTAAGAATGTTAATGATCTTAAGTAATTAATTGGAATGAGCACGGTTGTTTGGGTTGTTTGTCTGAGGCCAATTAGCATTTCAGAGGAAACCATCTAAACAGTTTTGGAAAGAAGATGTCAGACATCCTCATAGATACAAATAATCATACTCATCCTTGATGCAACTTCCCTGCAGTAAGCACAATCACACCACTGATTAATTTGGCACTTGAATTCTCTAAACAGGCTCTACATTGGTAGAGTCTTCCTAGAGAAAGAATAATACCTGACAACACGTTTGTTTGTTTGGTTTTTTCCCTGGCAAATTTGCAGACAGTGAAAGTACAAGGGAATGACATCTCCCACAAGCTGCAGATTTCAAAAGTGAGGAAAAAGGATGAAGGCTTGTATGAGTGCAGGGTGACCGATGCCAACTATGGAGACCTTCAGGAATACAAGGCCCAGGCATTTCTCAAAGTCAATGCTAACAGCCACTCTCGGCGAATGCAAGCCTTTGAGGCATCTCCAATGTGGTTGCAAGACATGAAACCTCGCAAAAACATCTCAGCAGCTGTTCCAAGTAGCATCCATAACTCTGCCAATCAGCGCGTGCGTGCCACCTCCAGTCCTGAAGCAGCAGCCAAAATACCCAAACAAAGTCCACAATCAGGTATGGTAAAGCATTTTGAGCTTTCATTTGATTGCTTACCAGCTTGTAAAAGGAGGCTAACTCAACAAGGTAACCAGGAATTGTGACTAGGAAGATTGTGGTGCTCATTTATTCTTCCTTCTTTCTGGCTTTATTCCTCCTTACTTCCTAAAAGCTGAAGAATAAGTTTCTGGGCGGAAGAAGCAAAAAGCCTTAAATTCCTATCCGTGGATTTTATCTCTACTGGTTTTATCCACCTGAGGTTAGCTCTCTAATCGAAGCTTAGCTTTCCCTGTAGTGTGTGTGGAGAGGGAGAGGCATGTCAGTGAATGACTCACCTCATTTTAAGATGGCTGTGTGTGGTAAATTAAATAAAACACCCATCCAGAAGTGTTTCTTTCTAAGTTAGTTTACACCAGCCACCTAACTTTTATATTGCTAACATTTGGTGAAATTAATCTACTTTAGGTATCAATCCTATTTTCATAATGAACTCAAACTAAATATAAGCAGAACTTAGATACACCAGATTGTTTCTCCACTGTGTAGGCTTTAGAAAGACCATGGGCTTCTCAGAGAATGTGGGTTTGTCATCTTCAGCTGTTTGACCATTGGCTTTGAATCAAGCGTTAAAATGGCTATGCTGTCACATAGAAATTAACATACTACACATTTTGTTTGGGAGATTTTGTACAGCACTGTATAAATAACCTATAAGCAATATAAGTCTGCATTTTCTAACCAATACAGTAAAATTCACGGTTATGTAAAGGTACGTGAATATACAGGAGGTGCAGCTGTTGAACACTGTATTACAGCAATAGAGAGGCAGACAGGATAAAAAATTGACACGTTGTAAATGATCAAAAGTCCACTGGAAAACAAACTGCAAGTTTAAGCATTTCTGGGTTACTTCTGTTTACACTAGGGGCCCAATGTAAGGCAGGACATTACAACCTAGCTTAAAATATATAAGGGAAGCAACCTTATGTATAGTTTTTCTGCTAGCAAATGCTATATCATCAAAACCAGAACTGGGAATGCTACAAATTTCGTAGCATAGCTATTGTGAAATTACTTTCATCTTACAGGCATACATATTAGAATAACATTTTGATAAGGAAAATACTTTTAATTACAGATGGGAACAATATGATTATTCATATGAAAATTCTTATTGCTATTAGAAAAGATGATGCGGATATTACCACTATTTTACCTCTGTATACATTTTTAAAATTTATTTAAAAGTTACATTCAGTTGTCTTTCTCTGAAACGAAGCCACTTTCATTTTTTAGGTCTTCCAAAAAAATGTTTAAACTGTTAGAAGAAAAGAAATATTTCAATCAATTTGAAGTCATCATTCTACCATAGCTTTCCTTTCAGAGAAATGTATACACCATTTATTTTCCATTGGACTCATACATTACAAAGTAGCAGACCTGTCTACAAAGTGAAAAATCTGGTTTCTGTTCAGTTCTATGTGACATTAATTAAAATAGTCACATGTTTATGAAATACATAGCTACAGACTACACTGCATTGCGGCCAAAGTGTGTACACTACAGCTAATCCACTAAATCACTTTGGATATATAATTGAATCCATAATATTGTTTATGTCTTTAGTCCAAGCAATGTCTTGCCTGATTACTGGACATTTGTTATTTGAAAACTGGTGGGTTATTCCATGGAAAGGTCCCTGTAAAGAAAAAACAAAAAAAAACCTAGAAAAACTTAATTTCTAATTTTTTCCTTGAGCAAAGATTACTGCATTTCAAGTACAGGCAATGCCAATCATAAATAACTGAAAAATTAAACAGATTAAAATATAAATTAGTTTATTAATTCATTTGTTTTATGATGAAACACAGATTAATATTGTATTCATCAGAGGTGAAACTCATCTACTGAAGAAACAAAGAGTGTACCAAGAATCCATATTAGGCTTAATTTCAATTTAACGGTCAATTGCTACACAGTAATTACTGGTGATATTTTTGATGAACATCAGTTTAACTCTTGAAAACCAAGATTTACCTTCCTTTACTTGAGAAAATCTGGGCCTGGTTTTCCAGCTATGGTGTGATTTTGCTTTTTCACCCCATTTTACACTCACTCTACACGAACAGAAATACCCACAGGAGCACAAGGCAGTGGGGTTTTTTAGCTCTATGTAACTCTGAGGAGCAATTTAAGATGGGGAAGAAGAGACATCAGTTATGAGACCTCAGAAAAGCAGAAAGGAGGGGTCATAGACAGTAATAGTCTTTCTTTTCATGGTATCAGATCAACACAATCTCCTTATACTGTCAAATGTCAAGTGAGAAAGTCTTCCTTTCCTCAACACCATGCTAACTATATATGCATGCACAAGACGGCTGTGTGAAGACATAGCGGGTGATTGTGATGTGTTTGTTCATTTTGAGTAATACATTGACTTCAGCAATACTGTTTGAAGTAAGAAGTACTATTAAACATAAGTAATTGTATCAAATATTCTCCAATATTAGAGAGCCGGTGCATAGTTATTGGCAAGCAACAAATTCTACTGCCATGCTCACAGACTATTGCAAAATATGTTTACAGCAGAGGGAAACATGACACTGGGAAATTACTGGGAAATCTGTATTCATCTGTTTCTGAAGAACTTGGCTAGTAATATAAGAAAGATTGACTGTGATTAGATGAATATTTTGTCCCCAAAAATTATTTTTGAAGAATAGATAGCACTCTACTTAACTCCTTCTCTCCTGAAGCATACTGCAGAATTTCACTTATTTCTTAACAGAAGATATTGAATAGGTAACTCTAGAAAAGCAGTTTACAGTCACTGCCATTTTAAAATATTAGCATTTCCCAAATGAGTAGATATTTATGCCATTCTCCTCTTTTACTCAAAAGTACGAATATCTGTGACAATTATGAGGGAGCTATATAGCCAGGGCTGACAAATTACAGTGATATGAGGTCCATTCAGCATTCTGCACTGTTCTGAAAAATGCTATGTGAGTGTAAACAAGATATTTGTTGTCATTAGTGTAATGGAGAGTCAATACAGGAAGAAAGAACATCTCCCCCAGATAGTCTTCAGCTAATACACTGAGAAGCACTAAACATCTACCTTGATGTCAAAAAAGTCAGGAAACCAAAAGTCAAAGCTTGACCCTTTCATTTCATATTCATGGGTTGCAGCAAATGAAGCAAGCCATCACAGCTTAACAGGAATCTGAGTAATTTGACAGGCAAATCTGCATATATCCAGAAGATGTCCTATGTAGGTGGAGTGACAGACATTTTTTTTTCTGCATAATTCATAAGAACGTATCTTAGTCCAAAGGTAAAAGTACAGAATTATCATAGAGCCTTGTAACTCTGAGCAACATTGCACTTAACTGGGGTCCAAGAGCTGCAATGAATTAAGGAAAAAAGAAGCTAAATAATCTACAGGCTGCACCAAATCTCACTGTTTCATGGATATAAATCTAGACAAACTCTGCTACCTGCGTTCAAGTCACTCAACTTTCATAGCAACACAAAGGGCTGCAGAATTTGATGTGCTGTGAATGTGTATATCGCCCAAACTCTTCTGGCTCTGCCAAGGCTCTGTTAAAGCACTTAAAGCCATCAGTTGCTTTTCAGACTCAAGAAGATCAGGCTCAGAGAGAACTCAAGAAGGAATAGTTACAAATGAAGATGTGACGCTAGGTCCATTTTCTGACTGCTTACATACAGCCTCTGAACACTTCTAGCAACTTTTTGTTCTTTCCTGAAGCAACAAATTCAACTATTGACCTAATTACATGTCGAAAGCGTTCCTGTGATGATGGAAGAGTTGCAGTGAGTGACGTGAAAAGGAGCACAAAAGAGAGGGTGGTCCTTACCTAAGACAGAACAACCTGGATTCTTAGCATCTTAAACTACACTGAGAAGCTGATCATGAGGTGTGAATGCAAAAGAAGAGGATGAAAATATATTTCTTCAGTCTCTTGATACTGGTAAACCAATGACTTTCCTTCCAACCTCCATTTTTATCTGCAGAATCCATGAATCTTATTATCAACCTATTGTAAGCAGAAATTTTATGTCCAGTTTGGAATCCTCTGGGATATAAACCAATTTCTGTGTTGCGGTTTGGTTATTTTTTTTTTCTTTTTTTGTTACATCTCCTCTTAAAGTGAAAGGACAAAAAATCTTTTCTAACCTCCACCAAGGTGACAGCCAAGATTAGTGCTTTCATGAGTAAGATAAAGACTTTGGCTTTTGTGGCTGCTGAAACTGTGAGTACCCATAAGGCTGGAAGGCACCAACTGTTACTGTGACTGCTGCACAGCAAAAAATCAACTCTCTGTTTCCTTAGGACTACATTAAAGCAAAAGCCAAATGAGGGGTTTATTCTTCTTGTTCTGAACCTTATTCGGCCATTCTCAGAAATTCTTGCAAAAAGAATGATGGAAGGAATGTGCTATTTTTCACCTGTATACACTGCAATCCCTGTTTTTACTTGAAACTCACACTTTTGTTCTTTCTTCCTGAAATGAAGCCGCTCCACTTTTTTAGCTTCTCTGAAATAATGGAATAAAATCTAACCATGTTAATTGATGTAGCCCTATTAACCAGTTAGTTGTTGACCTTGAAAGTGTAAGCATCTTTTGACAAGTGCTAATCTGCTCCGAATAACTTCTTTGACAAAGCGAGATCTTAACAGCAGCTAAAACCTTTTTCTTTTTTTTTTTTTTTTTCAGGCCAGGATTTTCAGTGCAGAATGAGCTCACTACCGCCTTGTGTTTCTTTCAAAAAACCCACATCCTAATTTCTTATATGTGCATACTTACTGATAGAACCAAGTACATACAAGTATTTAAACTCCTGTTCCTAGTGCTTAGTCCAACTGAACCCAGTGATAAACAAACTGATTTCAGTGGATCGTCAGTTCTAACTCCTGTCACAAGCAAAATGGTATCTACTTTTTCTAACAATCCCTCACTGCCATTGTCAATCACTGATACTAGACCATTGTC